TTTTTTGGGTTAGTCATGTGATGCATCGCTTTTGCTCGACTCGACGAGGAGAATGCTGTCCGAGAAGGAGACGGATAGAAGCTTCGGTATGAGGAATTTTAGGTATATCGAGACGATTAAGGAGGCTCTCGAGAGAGAGTGCCCCGGCGTTGTTTCGTGCTCGGATATTCTCGTATTGTCCGCTCGGGATGGCATTGTTGCTGTAAGTACAGCTACCCACATACATATATGTATATATATATATATTATATATCTTCTTATTTGTTCAAGAAACTTGTGTATGTACTGCATGTTGTTTACATTATCTGTTCTTTGTTTAACAGAAAACTTCAAGGATGTGCAGTAAATTGTAATTATGTAAATATGAAAAATAGTTTTCTTTTATTATCCTGTTGGGAACACACACTCGGGCATCCTGTTGAGGTCGTCTTTGTGTTTGTTTTAGTTTTTTTAGCGTCCTAGTGTTTTTTGTGTTCCCGAGAATTACTCTGTTGGGGTCGCCTCTAGACGGTCTGATGACTGTCCTCCCATTTTTATTCAGCTATTGGCTGCTTGTATTCAGCCGTTGGCTGTTTATATTCAGGTGGTGGCTGATCATTTGCACATTTGTGCGCAAAAGAAGAATTAGTTTTCTTTCTGTAAATTGTGTTACTTAATATGACTGTCAAAAAATACCACTGCAATTAGTTTTTTTTCTTATTAGGACTCTGTGTGTTGATTTTTGTTTGTTTTATCATATAAACTATGGATTTTTACTTCTTCTTTAACATACACATGTATAAGTATTTTTTAAATTATTATTACTATCATTATTATTATTATTTTGGCAGCTTGGAGGGCCACATATCCAACTTAAAACAGGAAGAAGAGATGGTAGAAAAAGCAGAGCAGATATATTAGAGCAGCATTTACCAGACCACAATGAGAGCATGAGTGTTGTTCTTGATCGCTTTGCAAACATCGGCATCAATACCCCTGGAGTTGTTGCCTTGCTCGGTATAATTATAATAACATCCATATTTCATTTATCGAATAAAACGGGCCGGGCTCAGAACACAGTGGCCCGACCCAAGAGATCTGGGCTTGGCTTGCCCGCCCCCCTTGGACACTGTAAAAAAAGTTAACAATCTTCTTGTTTTCTAAAACTCTCTCTCCACAGGGGCCCACAGCGTGGGGCGAACCCACTGCGTGAAGCTGGTCCACAGGCTCTACCCGGAGGTGGACCCCGCACTCGACCCAGGCCACGTGGAGCACATGCTGTACAAGTGTCCCGACGCGATACCCGACCCGAAGGCCGTGCAGTACGTGAGGAACGATCGTGGCACGCCAATGAAGCTCGACAATAACTACTATCGAAACATACTCGACAACAAGGGTCTCCTGATCGTCGACCACCAGCTGGCAACCGATAAACGGACCAAGCCATTTGTGAAGAAGATGGCCAAGAGGCAGGACTATTTCTTTAAGGAGTTTGCACGGGCTATTACGATTCTATCAGAGAATAATCCCCTCACCGGGACTAAGGGTGAGATACGGAAGCAGTGCAATCTTGCTAACAAGCTGCACTGAATGTTATGGTGAGTGATAAAAAGGGGCCAAGCAAGAATAAGATGTGTGTTCTGTTTGTGTTTTGCATGCTTGTGCTTTTTCCTTTTTTCAGGGTCTGCTTTATGTGGGGTTCATGAGTGTGGAGAGTGAGTGAGTGAGTGAGTGCTATTTGTATGGTGTATGAACATTAGATATCTATCCATCTATCTATCTGTGTATATCTATGTGAAATGGAAGATAATGCTGGCTGTTAGATCAATATCAAGAAAAGGTACTTGATAAAAATAACCTGAGGTTTTGCCTAATAAACAACCACAAGCTTCAGTGGACTTAAAAATTCACACCCTGAAGATAATTAAAATTTTGGAAAATGCTACGGTCTCGTTACGGAACCATTCCGTCGGGTTTGTAACCGTTAGATCATACATGTGACCGTCGTAGATAGTTGATCTAACGATTAAAAATTCCGCCGGAATGGTTCCATAACGGGACCGGAGCATCTCCCTAAAATTTTACAATGGATTTCACCATAATCTAAAATAGAATCCCATCCTGCAAACCAGAAGCAACACAATTAACTGCTACAAGATTCCCTTTCCCTTTCTTGTATTTTTTTTTTCATAATAAAATACAAGTGGTCTCAATAAAGTTAAAGAAAAGGGGACCAGAGTTGTATTATTATATCTATCTGTCAGCAACTAAACAAACAAGATACTTATTGATGAGTCCTATAGCATAATAGCAGTCAATTGCTACTTGACAAAAAGAAAAAAAGTCATCCATTAGGCCATCTTTTGCTTTTCTGGAATCACAACTAGCAGCCCTTTGTTTGGATTTTCATGACCCTCAGTGACTCAGTGAAAATAAGTAGCAGCTTTATAGAGCAAGAAAATTACAGTTAATGACAATGAGAATTGAGCAGATTTTTTTTTTTTTTTTT